TCCCGCGCGCTACGCAGTCTCACTACTGATCACCCTGTGTACTGCGCTGCTTTTGACCGGGCTATTTGGTTATTCGTAGCAACATGCAATGGAGACATCCAGATAGTCAGATACAGCGTAAAGTTAATTAGATCGTCGCGGATTAAATGGAACTTCCGACGTTTTTACGCCTTCCCTTCTGCAAAACAGATACTCCGCTTTGAACGCGCAGGGATTAATCTTTGCACCAGACGAGTGGATTATACACAGCGCGACCACATCAAGTTGACGTCTAAAGTATTTACAATTCATGCTGCTAGCAGTCGAAAGTACACAGATTTGAGCGTTGTAGTACATAAGTAGACGTTTATAAAGTTATACTCACAAGAAGATATTACACCATCTGGGTCACCGATTTGACCGGAGCTCTATGCATGGAAAGAGTCCTACAAGTGTCGTTCGTATATTCCTAAAGTCTTGAGATGAAGAAAATAAGTGAAAAATTCCTCGCGAAAGTGTCAGCCTGGCAAAGTGTTTGTCAACATAAGAGATTTTTTCGCGAGATCCCGTAGTGAACCGTAGCGAGAACAGATGGAATTTCCCATTCCTCTCGAAGTTTTGACAGTTTCAAGTTACACCGGGAGTGGTTAGATGGCGCAAGTTGCGCAGAATGTTAGCTTTAATCTCCTTGATAAACTTAGCTGCCTTGTTTGAATCTGAAATAAAAAACCGATCGTTTTTTGTGCAATGTACATATATATCAATAAAATCAATCCTTTGATATGACAAGTGCGGTTCATATATCTTCGAGGACCTCCTCCCTCGTCATTTAAAATCAGGTGGACGTGTTTCTCCATTTATGATTTAATAATTTAACTCAATTTTGGGCACTGCGAAGACAAATTTTCAATTGAGATGCCTGTTTTTTAAATGAAATTGACATAAGACCTGTCACCCGCTAGTACCTCACGTTTATGCGGGTACCCGTACCACGTGATTTTTTGACATTCGGACGACGTCACATCCGTCTTCCCCTATTCCCGTTCTTCGCGAAAATTTGAGTATCAGTTCCCGGTAGTGCAGTGTGCTACACCGTGGACTCGCGAAAAAATCCTTATAATTATAAGCTATGAAATTATGAATGATAATTGTCATAAAAATAATATACATATATTCAACTTGCACTGACAAGCGTTTGAGCAAGCACAAAGTTTTTCCAACCTTTCAAATGAAGAACACCTAATTTACATATTAAAGAATATCTCATTGGTTAGTAAGTTTCGATGTAAATCATGCATATTTAAAAATTTCTGAAAAAGTGGTGCTGCTAACTGATAATGGAATAATGAATGAAGTCGTATGAACAGTACCATTTCTTTTTCAAGAAAGTCTCTGACTTTCCGGCGAAAATAAACATCGATCGGTTGACCTATTGCAGTGCATTTCTAAGGAATAACTTTTAGAGTACATGTTGCCAGTTCCTGCATTCAAGCATTTTTTAAACTTAAACAAATAATAAACCGTCTTTTATTAGAAAAAACAAATTACAGATAATGCATATATTATTATCCATAATTAGATTATTGAGCAGCTTAATGGAGAAGTTTAGCTATGACAGATATTCTTACACTTAACCATTTACTGCATAAGAATAATAGATGGTAAAAAAGTACCGCTGTAAAGACAACAAAAAGGTGGAAAATGCCCATGTAACTGATCACAACCTAAACAAAAATTAGCTTAAAAATATAATGCTGTCGAAAAACACCTTTAAGAAGCACCATTGAGCAGAAGAGCTTTTAAGTGTTTTTTAAAACTATACAGCGGCAGGCTTTTTGTTCTGTAATCTAAGCTATTGTACAACATGCATGCATTATATGAGAAGGACGTTTTCATCAATAAACACACCTAGACACTTGACACTTTCAGAAAAAGGAAGATTTTGATTGTTAATAGACATACTCAAGGAAGCTTTGACTTCGGCTCTTCTGTGATTTGGACAAAACAACACAGCAGAAGATTTAGAATCATTAACGGTTAGGCTGTTATTGGCTGAGTAGGTGCAAATAGAGTCAATGTCCTCGTTAATTTCCATAGTAGCAGTAGCAATGGCAAGACTGACCCTTTTGAGGAAAATATCTTCCTTATTTTTACACTTTCCAAGTTACAAATGAGTCAAGGATTAGACGTCAGACAGACAGGTAGGTCGAGAGAAATGAGTTACATGGTTTTTCGTTGTCTACATGTCATGTAACATACAAAAAATATAATATCTCAATTTTCGCGATCAAAATACTTCTTCACCAGTAGTAGGTAGAAAAAATGAGAAGTGGAAATTCAATTTAGTTGAAATATCAAACCGACGTCCTTCAGATGTGTACGTCTATAAAGCATCGTATTACGTTATCAGATTTTCTTTTGAGGATGGTACTGGTATCGAAACGATAGTGCATTTGCTACAAAGTATGTTTAGAAATGTGTGTTTTTAAGTCCTATGTTTACATTTTTAAGAAATTTAACGATAATAATAACCATAAATCGGTTTTCCTTATAAGACTCGGAAGACATATTTATTGTAAATTGTAAACCCATTCCAACTTTCTCAATTAGGATGTTTGAGTAGCGTTTATGCCTCACGCATCCAAAAAATCTGTGATTCAAATCAGATGCTTGGCCATCATCATCACAAAGGGCGTATTTCAAACCTAATCTACGTAAGTCTTCGTCATAATTGGAGAATATTTTTTCACTAACCTTGTATTCAAAAATATGTGGAGTTTTTTCTGATAGCTCTGTTAATCAAATAATAGTGGTTCTGGACCACAGTGTTTCCCAATATGCCATCAATTTATTATTAAAGCAAACAAAAATGTCTTCAGTTATATATAATTGATGCGTGGTTTGTACGTGGGCAGCTTGTTTGGCTGCCTGATCTGTTCTCTCGTTTCCTAGTATTCCCGTACAGCCCTTTACCTAAACAAGGAATACACCACAACCCCCTTTGGTTAAGTCGTGTATAAGTGTTCTAATTTTAATAATAAGTAATGTTTGGACAATGTTCCATTGAGGAGATTCAGCTATTGATATAGTCTCTACTGTAAAAATGGAACTCAAATTCTTTTATATCTACGATGAATCTATTGCTAAGAAAGGAGCTGACGATGTCTGTTCTATGCTGTATCACTTTTTTATAACATCCTGCCTATGGAAGTAAAAGATCCTGCCATTTGCTGTAACTCCTGTGCAGGGCAAAATAAAAACTTTACAGTTATTCGGTTTTTGCATAACTTGGTTACCAAGAAAAATCGTTTTACTACTGTGAAAGTAATATTCCCGATCAGGGGGCATTCATACCTCGAGTGTGATAGAGATATGAGTCTCGTGAACCAAAGAGCATACACTGAGGTACCGGATGACTGGAGAGACGAATTGAAAAATTGCCGTGTTCAAGCTACACCATTTGAAGTCATTGAGTGTGGCAAAAATTTTGATTTTCAAGATTGGATTACGTTATTATCGCTGTTTTATCCAACGAAGTGCCCCTTTCCAACCCGACCAGTCAGGATGCTCAAGTATTGTAAACAGAATCCTCGCGTAGGTTTTCACAAATCGACATACATGGGCCTATATGCCCTAAATTTGACAAGGTAATTCGGAAGAATCTAAAAAAGACGCAAAAAGCTCAACAAAAACGAGAAGAGGACAGATTGAGAAAACTTTACCAGGGCCCAATCCCAATTAAAATGGAAGGATCTGCAGGACCTGACCAAATTTCTAGAGAAAGCAGATTCCAGGGCATTTTATCAACAGTTAATATCTCTAGATCATCCAGAAGACAGCAGTGATATGAGGATGATCCGCCAATACATGCTTAAAGCAGGGGAAAAGTGGCACGAGTCCAGAGTTGAATATCAACTTTTGTTTGTTACGCTACTAGTTTTGAGTAAAAGTTCATTTTGTAAAATCTATTTTACCAATAAACACACTGTTTAGCAAAGATATTCGACTTATTTTTTCATCAATTTTACTTTCCAACAAGTAAGTAAACCTTAATTACCGATTTTCTCAAAATCAGTCCGGATGGACTATTGTCGTTATTCCCCGGTACCCTTCATATGCAACCAACAAGGTGTGTACTACCTACTCTGCAAGATGGCATTTTATTGGTTTTTTTTGACGCTTTATAGGTATTTTACATAATACCCATGCCGATTACGTTATAGGCTTGCCATCACGTATTTTTAGTAAGGCAACTTTGTTAAAAGTGTTCATGATATCAACTAGGAACTTTGATCTAAATGATAACTTCAAGTGTTAAGCTTGCAGATCCATATTATATCGTTAATTTTTTTGCTGTATATTCGCGAGGAGCTAACTAATTCTCTACTTAAATGAATACTCACAATTGTGACATTAATAATGATCTAATTAGACGCTTAGAAGGCCAGGCGGGCCTCATTCATAATGATATCTCATCTAATTCAACTTATAACTTCTATAGTATTCAGCTTCACAGCAGATTCTACAACTGATTTCTATGCGTTGAGTTGGTTAAATAATGAGGTTCCACTTTGAATTCATGAGCAGAAACAAACAGTTTCCCTAGCTTTCCCCCAAAAAAAATCTCACCTTGCTACACTGCTGTTGCTCGAGACTGGGCGACCTCTAAGGTTTTTTTATTAACTCGTTTTTCAGTTCATATTTTGCTACAAGTTAAGCAACTTCCCCTTGTCTCAGATAGTGGAAACTTTAAATTCAGCTCACTATTGCTCACTAGGATACTAAGCTACTTTTTAGTTTGTTTCTGCTTGCTGGTGTGCTCTAATATTATACTAGGAAAATCCAGTTTTAAGGCTAAGGGTATTTGATGGTTATCTAGAAATTATGCCATTTTTCGGTTGTTAACTAACTATGACAAAACCAGTGTTTGAATCATGGGGTAATATGAAGCGTGATATTGATGTTAATTTTATGCAGATTGTGAGAATATTTTCAGATTTAACATTGTATTTCTGTTACAGGTAACTAGAAAAAAGACTTTCAACATACATTTCGTAAGTAGTTGTTCTACATGCATGCTTCCAAGGTCATATTTGGTGAATCAAAATAGAAATAAGCGAAGACACCATCTTGCTGCTTGATAGGCTTTATGTGATGCTTGAACGGTGGAATATTAGTTAACACATGCAAAATACTATGTGGGTGTTTAAGAAGATTCCGTTCCACGCAGAAACCGTGACCGGAAACCGCGCTCGCGCATAAAGCTTCTATGTCTATGACTGTGAGATATTCAAATTCAAATACAAAGACTAATACGGATGACATTTACGCCAGTATTCGTCATTTTTTCACAATGATTGTTAATTTGAGTTATCCTAAGAGTATTTTCACGTATTCAGCGTCATGTTAACGGACGTCGGCCTGATAAAGCTCACGTAAACTTATCAGCCCAATTTCATGCAGAGCAGAGGTTGTATTTCTGTAATTCAAATATGAATAAAATGAACCGATCGATATCGATTCCAGTTTCCCATCGTAGTCTAGTCAAAATGATTTGTTCAACAAATTGGATGGTATTGAGTTGAAAAGCGATTGAGAGTGAGTACAGCCATTTTGGAACAATTAGTAGGACTTCTGGAGAACATTCGGAACCGTCAGATTCTGTGGCCAGAAGAATACCGGTTTTTATGGCGCTGGATCATTTGACTTAAACGTTTGAGCCTATTTCCATATGCCATACTCCACATTTTCTCGGGTAATTATTTCTTTTACACAAGATATTGCGGGATTAAGCCTACGATTTATTGAAACATCCAAGACTCAGGAGGAACAGATATTTTTCCACCGGAATCTATTATATCTTCATTAAAAACTCCGTTGGCTTTTTTATTTCTCGACGGTGTTGCAATACCTACCCACCAACGATATCTCGGTAGCTGGCATACACCTGTTTTACACGCGTGTTAAGTCTGTTGCTCAAGATTGTATGCTTCCTTAAATTAAGTTTGTTAAACGGCCAGTGAAACGAATTCAGTTACCTTCACCCGACGAAGCCGTTTTGGTAGCAGAGAACAGTTGTTACATTTTCTAATATTTACAATACTAAACACTAGCAGACCACTTCCTTCTAATTTTCTCACCATTGACTGTTTATTTAACTTTGAATTCATTCAGGTCCACGTATTGATTTCGTCTCTTTTGGCGGATCTGACACAAGTCTGAACTTAGCAGTAACCGATAAAAGGTATTTCTGTTAACTGGGCCGGTCTTACTTCCCACGCCAATTGGCGAGGAAGTATTGTAATCGAGAAAAATTAAATGAACAATTTACTCTTTCTTTTGGATGTTACACAATCTGTACAGTACAGCTCGGATACTGATATCACTTTCACAGATTTCTACTGTAGCTAGGATAAAGACGCAGTTTTCAAAAATCCATCAGGTGGAGGCGAAGCTAAGGGGAAACATGATAAAACATCACCCAGACTTTGATAACTGATGTTTTGGAGACTTTAGTTAATTTTTTGGAAAAACATTTAGGAGGGTAATAGGAGGTAATAGCGGTGAAGGAGGTGAAGGTGGGCATACCTAAATTTTTTGGTGTTAATGTATTTATGCACCCATATGTATATTTATTTATTATGTCTTAGTAAAAACACACGAGAAGATAAACTATCACAAGGGAGGTCGGGTCTTGGTAGCCCTAGTATCGCGACGTCGACCGCTCGCGCATTTGAATATCCCCGCATCAGATATGGGCGTCCGTAGAAATTTTCTTCAGTGTCGCCCACTAGACATGGCACGGGGAAACCTTTTCTATATCACGAATATGTATCAGCCCCCAACATGGGAGGGGCATATTTCAGGAGGCAGCCAAATTCTCGGGAGAGGCCATGCCATTGTGTGAGCCCATTTGGCTGTTTTGATCTATTGAATTCTTTTGTTATACAAGCTTGTAGTTAACTTCTTCCTAAGAGGGTCTTGACTTGCGTCGATCACAGTCTTTTATAAACTCATGGCAACATTGCGTGGAAAGTGCAGTGTCGACCTGCCTGACTTCACTTTTTATTGTAAAGCTTCCTTTCCACAAAAACTCCAGAAAAGATGGAATGAAATGAAGATTCCAACTTTTCTGCACAATCACAGAAAGGGGGTTACCATTAGCTTCCGGTAGCTCAGTCGGTGGCATGAAGACATCTACAGGCGTGTAGCTGTGTGTCGACCATGGCATGGCTAGAGGATAGAAGAACAAATAGAACACAAAAATTTAACAGATTTTATTAAACTAGAAAAGCATTTTCATTACATTTGAGAATTAACATTGTTGAAATTTTAATGAACAAAATAAAAGATTTAAATCTTTGGCGCTGTTACAAAATTATCCACTTATCTTTCGCTAAGCTGGTCCATTTTGACTGGACTGAAGCGAGGATGGCCAAGGGCTTCAAGTGGAGGTCCCAGTTATGAGGGGTGACCTCATATTTAGTGGCTTCAAAACTAGATGTAGGCGAAGGATGCAGTGAAGTTGAACTTAAACGTGATCTTCATCAAAGATGAAGCTGTAAGTGATGGCGCTGCCAAGGCACATGCATGGCAAAGTGATGGGCCAAGCAATAGGTAAGCCAAAGTCAAAGACAAAGGAAGGCAAAGTCAAAGACAAAGGCAAAGGCAAAGTCAAAGACAAAGGAAGGCAAAGTCAATGACAAAGGCAAAGGGGGTGGCCCCAATCTGAAAAAGAACTGTGTGCATTAGCAACGTGCCCCAATGGCCAAGGTATTTCCAATCTCAGTCTGCCTCAAAAGAGAACCAACGATTTTCTAGGTTAGAATTACATTACATAGTTTGATAAAATCAAACCGAAAATTGGAAATGCCTTTCATAAAATAAAATCATGAAATAGCAAAAAAAGCGTAAAACAAGATGGTGGTAATCAAAAATTTTTCCACATGCTTCTGATATAAAAACACAAATATCGAATATTCATAATCAACGTACTCATAATTTCACTGAACTATGAATATATATATATATACGCACACAGAGGTAAATTCGATGTGGATCGATTTCTACCTCGATTTGATTAAAGTTATGGCGAATGATCGAAGTAGTCGAAAATGACGTTCGATGGATATTTTAAAATCGTACAAGAAATAAACCACTTACATATCGATTATCTATAAACTACAGGCAGATCCAGCAATAAAACTGTATAGTATTATAAAACTCACCATTTTATCCTATTTAGACACACATTTTACAAAATGCTAGCACGTGGTGCTATATGACATGCTACAGAGAACAAAATTCTCAGCTGTTGTTAGATCGGCGGCTGAAGTGAAAAGGAGGCGCGAGGAAGATCACAGATCAGGAACTCCGCATCAAGCGCGCTCCAAGCGGAAATGTTTCCAAGTAAAAAAGCTAGAGATAGGATAAGCTAGGGATGGGATTAATGAGTTGCGATTCTGAAATGAAAATCGAGAAGTGATTTAATAAATACAATCGGACGGTGAAACCGTTACATTATTAGACGATGCTTATAGATGAATGAATTATTAATTATGAGGAAAATATTAACAAGGTGGTACTTATCAATGCGACAGGTGAGTTAGGTGAATATCGCGGTTAGCGGATAAACGCCCATGCCTCTTCCTGCTTAACGTAGTTTTTTATAATTTGAATTTGAGTATTTCACAGTGACACCGATAAATTGTATATCAGAGCAATACCAATAGTAAATGAATTTTTTTCATCTATAGCGCATAACCTGTGCTATTGTTGAACCACTGCTCACGACAGCAATTACGACGCATCTAAACAAAGAAGGTTCCAACGTACCAATTCAATTTCCGTTTTGGTCTAAGTAACCTCTCCACAAAGACCTTTCCCAGTCGTAATGTATCCTTCCGTCGACCAGGCCGCCACATCGGCACTGGTTGCTCTCTACCTCGCCTTTTCCCAATTTACATACGATCTCTCGGACGACACTCGGCAGTCCAGCCGCCATCGGCAGACTGTCGAAATGGATTATCAAGTAGCAAAAACAAACATCCACCCTTTGTATGTACGCCTCAGCTGTGCTGGTCGCTGATGCTTGATCTTGCGCGTTGGACGACGTGTTTATTTTTACTACCCACGCCTGAAGGCGCACCCAAATGACATTTTGTTGAAATCGGCTACTACCCAAGAAAAATCTACCTATATTTTTCATATTCTAGTAATTATATCCTTGAATGATGTCCGAAAAAGTTGTATCGTCTCGAGAGCTGAATCCTTTGTCAAGAATTGGTAAGTACGCAGCAAATTTCGGCCCCAATAGATCTTAGTCCAAGAGATGGTATTGGTTGGTTTAGAACTACAAAAAATACACGTCTAAAAAGTACTTGAAGAAAACTTGAGGTCCAAGAAAAATCCAGAGGTTATAGCAAAATATGACCTCCTTGTTAGGTTCTTTTTTGGGCATATTGATAGGTAAAAATTACCTCAATAATGGCGAATAAAAATTCCTTGTAAACTTCCAACATAGACTGGTGAAAAACAAGTCTACTAAATAACCCTACTGTACACAGTGAGGTGACAAGGGTACTATTAGTAAATGTTTGCATAGATTTCGACATTGAACATAACTTTAAAAGAAAATGTTCTCATGTTACGAACTTGAAGTGTCTGACGTTAAAGTTACTGATCTTTAATGAGAGTTTGGTTCTCGGTTCTTTTAATTTTCCTATGGGTGCTAGTTTCTTCAGTCACATTTAAATCGAGTTTAGAAGATTAAACCGAAAGATGCCTAAGGTACATTGCAAAACTACCGGGTTATTAAAAGAGACTCAGCTATCACGATTTTTTTAAGTGCACGTATTATACCATTCAGTTGGCCCAACTATTGAAATCTTAGTTTTTTCCTTATCAAACACAAATAATAAAAATGTAGCAGGGTATTATAGGTTTAAAATATTAACAATGAGTATTTTGATAATATGTAGTAGGAAACATCAACTTTATCACTCCCTAATCAAATTTGCAGCATAAAAATAACACATGTTGCAATTACAGCATA